TGGAGAGTGCTGTTCCAGCATTCCTGTCAGCCTCCTTTTCAGGTCTGTTTCATTCCACATGAGCTTTCCTGACAATTGTGCTGCTGTTGTACCTGAGACCTTTGCAGTAGTTCGTTGTTGACAAGCCCAATCTTCTGTCACACACGTGTCTTTTTTTCTTCTTTTTCCTTTTTTCCAGGAAGAGATTTTAAGTGAAATACAGTGCTTTTTGGGGAAGGCTCCTCTTTTTAATATGCCTGTTATTTCAGTTCATTTTGCTGAAGAAAGACAAGTCAAAGATACATCTTAAAGATGTGTATCTTACACTTGGGGAATAAGCAGATGAAGCATTTATAGATTTTTGTTCAAGAGATTATTTGATTCACAGTGTTGATCAGGTCTCTGTCAAGTTCCCCCTTGTTAATTTTTTCTGTGTGGGTGGTAAAAGTTTCAGTGTGTTGGGAGAGATTAAATGTGATGCTTTCTTCTTGCCCTAGAGCTGCAAGTTTTCTCTTTAGTTTTTGCTCCAAGGTACTGAGAATCCTACCAGTAAAAATCAAGGCCACAGGTTTTGGTTGGTTGCTTTTCTGTTCTCTGAGAGCCAACCATACAGAGAGGAGAACTGATTTTAGATCTGTGCTATAATATGCACTGTTAAGAAATTTGGAGAATTTATTGAAGGGCAGTGTCTTCTTCCTAAACTACATTGCGTTGCTGTATTTAAGCTGCACAATAACCTAGTTGCCCATCACTGATGTTGTATCATTTCCTGCCTGGATGAGATGGAGATGGAAGAATACCTCACACTCACAGCCTTCTGGATATGAACTTGACATTATTCTGGAAGCCAGGAGTACTGATAAGTGAACTGAGTGCAGTGATTTTGGGTGTGTATCTTCAACCAAGGGACGGTATGGTCTGTATATGGCTATATATGTATATATATATGGCCAGTGCCATGTAGGTCTTCCTGAGCAAACTTGAGTCTTGACTGTATCATTTCTGAGCTAGCATCTTCCAAGGCTGATCATCCTTATGATGGCAGTATAACTGTGAGTGCTGAAGTTGTTACTCACTGGGTAGATCTCTTCAGGAGGAATTCAGACCATATTCTTCAGTGTCTGCCAGAATCTTGGTTCATCAGGTGAGATTGTAGTGTCTCAGCTTATAGAAGAAGAGCCATGGTACAGGAGAAGGGAGAAGGAGCCTACCTGTCGAAAGAAAATGTTCATTTGTAGAGTTATGATTCTGATGTTTGCTGAAGATGTATTTTCTTTGAATGCCACTGCTCAAAGTATCTATTACCACTGTTGGTGATAGACGTATGTAGGGCAAGTTCAAGTGCAATTCCAGTTCCTGGAACTGGAAAAAGGTAGTCAGCCCCCTAGAATGTCTGGTGCAGAGCTGCTCCTTGGTAGCTTTTATGAGAAGCCAGTAGTGCTGGCAACACTTAGATGTGTAAGGAAGAATAGGTAGTGGGCATTTTGGGAAAGGCAGAAAGAAGGAGAAATGGAGCAGTAACTCTTTTAAGGGGACAAACAGGAGGTGGACATGTCAGCAGCTTAAGAAAGGTAATTGTGGAAGCTTGGTTGTTTCTGGGTCAGTACGGTGCTGTGCAGAGGAGGACATGTTTGGCTCTTCAAGCAGTGTTCAGGGCCAAATGCCTCTTTCACAGCTTTTTAGACTGCTTGCCAGAAAGTCTGTGGCAGATCTGGCTGCACTCTGCAGGTCAGGTCTAGAGTTACTGGTTATGACAGCTGTGATGGCTGACACCTGTTTGCAGTTGCATTACTATGTAGGTTCCTGTTAAAGGATGGTAGCCCAGCTGTAGAAAGGAAGGCTAGTGTTTGTCATGTTCTGAGGTGTACTTGGCCTGGTAGAGCCCCCAGAGGGAGGGGATGTTGTACCAGCTGAAGTGCAGGGTAGTGTAGTCAGCGAGGCAAAAAGGATGAGGGACTACCTCCTTAAAGTAAAACACCAGAAGAAAAAGCAGAAATTTGAAGTCTCCTGAAAGAAGGCAACAGCACAACCCCAGCTGGATCTTAAGTAATAGAAAGAGGATTCTCTGTGTCTCCCCAGAAATGACCTTACAGAGTTTTCTGCAACCTTGGAAATAACAGAGTTGCTGGAATAAGAGCAAGCCTGAAGAAATGATCCATTTTCAAGGACATGTGAGCAGAGAAAACATGGTTTAAAGATTTATTTTTTTATTTATTTTTTGTTTAAATTCCATTTTATGTGGCAAAAGTGAGTTTTCCTTCTTTATGTTCCCTTACTCTGCTTGATATTCTAATGAAGATGTTCAAGGTTTTGAGTCTTTTTCAGTCTGAAAATCTTTATTCTAATAAATATTTTTAATTCTAATAAAGATTTTTAATAGGTTTAAAGCCCATTTGCTATTGGAGTCCTCTTGCAGCTGTGCAACTGCTTTGTTTGATTTCCTGATAAGTCAGAAGCAAGGATCTTTCTGTGGTTGCATTTAGGACATAATCACTGCCTTAATAGTGTCACAAATTTGCGGTACCTTTTGGACCAAAATCTGAAGACAACCCCCAGGACATTTTGCTTGTTGAATAGAATATCTTTGATTAGCAGAGACTAAAGGCTCAGCATTTTACAGTACTTACAGGTTGTCAGTAGTGTCTGTAACATGCTGGAGTCAAAGACTGAATGCTTTCTGATCTAAAATCAAGGTACATAGAAAGTAGGGCAAAAGATAACTTTAGAGGTAGCCGTTACGTAGGATTTTTGTTCATAATTATTCTAAGTTTCTTTCTGATGACAGTGTGGAAGAAGTGGGTTGATTAATAGGGGTTATAGTGAGGAAATGATTAAGAGTTTGTTGTTTAGAAGAAAGCACTGTACATTGAAGAGAGAAACAAATAAAAGATACGCAGACTCGTGAGTTTGGCAGAGCAGAGAAAGTATAGGGAACCCAACAGGAGACCAGTTCTGAAATGCAGGCTGCATCTGGCTTATGCATGCTTTGAAAGAAAAATTATAAGGAGTTAGTGAAGGCAAACAGTGGAAAGTATCAAGGACAGGTATTTTGGAGTGGAGTTAGGCATTGTTACTAACTTGGGTTCAGGTGAACTATACCAGTCAGCTACAGCCTGAAAGCTAGAAGAAAGAAAGACATCTACAATGCTCAGATTTGAATAAGGATGTTACTGCAGAGAATGATCTTAGTGATGAAATGTCAGATTTCAGAGGAAACAGACATAGTTCCTACCGGATATGGGGGCATACAAGGAGAGGAGTTTCCATGATAAAAGGGAGAATGGTGATAATGTCTTCGGAAATCAAAAGAAGAGGAAATGGAATCAGTTTATATCAACTTGAAATATCTGTGGAGTATCTAGGATGAACTGGTAAGAGAAAAGCTGCTTATGTATATAGATGCAGTTTTGCAAATAATCAGTTGGGGATAAAATTTAGGAACATAAAATGTGCAAGTTAATTTAGAGAGTTGTGAATTTAGAAATGTGAAGTCCTTCACAAGGCCCACAAGGCCTCTACACCAAATAAAGATCCTGGGAGATTAAAATAAAAATCCCCAAATCTATATAATGAAAGAGCACTTTAGCAACAGAAGTTCTGCAAGAAAGGATGAGAAAGAATATGGATTCCCAGGAATATTTCACTACCTGTCTGCCTGTTTTTATCTGTGTCAGCCTGTCATTTTCTGGACTTAAGGCACTTCTGAAAAACCTGTTTCCTATCCGTGCATACTGTTGACACTCTATTTCCATCAAACCTTTCTGTCACTGTCTTCTCCAGATTTGGCAAAATGTAGTCATTTTCTTTTTTCCCTTCAGCCATACATCTCTGCCTCCCACATTCCTCTGCTATATTAGATTTTTAGTTTCCTGACCTGATGTATATGACTTCCTTCTCTCCTGTATGTGTGTATGCGGGAGTGTGAAAGCTTTACAAGACTACTCCTTTCTTAAGTTGTATGAAGGTTGTTTTGACTGTTTAACTTGACAGCTGTAGCCTTTTTGTCATTGTACTAGAAACAGATATTTGAGTCCCAGAGAAATTTTTGGCAATATCTTTTCTTGAATCCATGCATCAGAGTTAATCATCAGGTTTTCTGTGTGGCGCACAGGAGAGAAGGGCACTGAGAAATAACGTAGCCCTAAGTCAGTAAAGTGACTGAGAAACATTAGATACCCTGTAAAAATTACATCAGGTAGGCACGATTGTATCTCTCACAGGTTTGAGCACCTGGGTTAGGGGTGAAGCATGATGCCTTCCTCCCCTCAGGTCTCACAGCAAGCTGGATCTGCAACATGTTTGATGTGGGTGAAAAGCAGTTAAAGAAGAAGGTTGGACAGGGCCTTAGGTGACATATTCTGGTGTGAGGTGTCCCTGCCCATGGCAGGGGGGTGGAACTAGATGATCTTATGTTTTTTTCCAACCCAAACCATTCTGTGATTCTAAGGTTAACCAGCCTGTGTGTGAGGTATGGGAAGATTATTACTAGGCTCTGCATGATGTTAGAATAAAGATGGGCAAAGATGTGTCCAGCACATAATTTGCAGCATTAGCTGTATTTGTAACTGCCATTTACAAATCTGAATTGATGCAACTATGGAAGACATTCATGTGGCAAGAGGTTTGCAGATGAGTTTTAGCAGTCTAGCTAGGATCTAGACAGGAAGGGCATCGTATCATGCTTTTCTTACAATGGTTTCTCAAATATCTAATCCAGAAGTACAGGCTGTACTTCTGAGGCTTGTCCCTGCCTCTGAAGCTTGGCCCTGCAACTTCCTGTCTTTCTCCACTCTACAGTGGATGTTAGTATGTTCGTATAGCCAATAGTTTTTGAAAGGAAGTTTCAGATTCAGCTCTTCAGTATATTTTCCTATACATAACCAAATCTTAAATTCTAGTATAACCTGGCGCAACTGTACTAAACTTGCAGATTCTCTACTGAATGTATAACTATCACCTTTCCTGCGGCTTCTTCAGATCTTGGACTTCAACTGAATGTGTACTTTTCTTTTCTCTAACAGCAAAAGCGGAAACTGAGACTTTACATCTCCAACACATTTAATCCTGCAAAATCTGATGCTGATGACTCTGACGGCAGCATTGCTTCATGGGAGCTGCGAGTGGAGGGGAAGCTCCTGGATGACGTATGACTTACCTGTGCTTCAGTGGGGCTGGCAAGGATCTAGAGGTTGTCCTGTGGGGTGGTGGACTTTACTGGGGACATCAACTGAGACAAGACATCTCTGAATGGCGGCATTGGCTTATTGCTGCTGGGAAGGTGCTGTGTCCAGCCAGAGTGAGGGATAAGACCATAATGTAAATGTTAGGAAGGGGCAGGGAGGGCAGCAGACTTAAGGACAGGACAGGTTTGAGGAGGTGGAGAGAACAGGGATAAGACAATTCCCTTAAAAGATATGGCAGGGTTCAGGTCATGAGAGGTGTGCCTGCAGAAAACATTGCATCTTGTGCAGAGTATGATGGCAAGGGAAAGTGAGTAGTTTACATTCCTAGGGAGGACAAGATGATGTATGGATGGTCAGAGCAAGGATGGAAGAAAAGTTTTATCATTCTGAAGTCCTCAGAAACCTCAGTAATGGATTTAGCTTTCCTTGGGGAAGGCTGGACTTTCCTAAAAATGGTGTTATTTATTTGAATAGACTGGGCAAGCTAAGTATTTGATAAGATATAGATGGAGAATATGTCTGTGTGGAGAGGACAAGCTTTTCAAGGCACATCTCTCTGTCTGGAGATAACTATACATGAATCAAAATCATAATCTTGCTGGAGGATGAAGGGGTGACAAAGCAAAACATCTGGAAATTGAAGTTAGACTCAGTTTAGAAATTAGAGCATATATTTTAACAAAGAGAGTCTTTACTGGAACAAAATAGCTCCTCAATTACTGGCAATTTTATATTGCAGGAGGATGTATTTCTAAAATATCTGCATTAAAAAAGAAGAATATACTTGAAATCCTGTGGACTGTATTCTGTGAAAAGTTAGATTATATAAAGTGTGCTTATATAAAGTTAGATTATATAAAGTGTGATTGTATCTATGAAATCATAGATATGTATCTGTATATAAACTTAACAGTTTTTCATTCAGACAGTATGAGCTGTCTGGTAAAAAGTAACTGATAATTAAATTGAAAGGCAGAATGTAAAAGGAAATACTTTCACTTAGTGTATGATTGATCTGTAAAATTTGTTGTTATCTGACAAATTAGGCCAAGAAATTAACACTCATCAAAAAACCAAACTGTTACATAAAAGGTACATAATGGCCATAGAATCACAACATGGTTGGTTTGGAAGGAACTTTCAAAGATCATTTAGTCAAACCCTCTGCTGTGGGCAGGGACACCTTCCACTAGACCAGGTTGCTCCAAGCCCTGTCCAACCTGCCCCTGAACACTGCAGGGATGGGGCAGCCACAGCTTCTCTGGGCAACCTGTGCCAGGGCCTCACTACCCTCCTTGTAAAAAATGTCTTCCTTATGTCCAATCTAAACCTATTGTTTTTCAGTTTAAAAGCATTGCCCCTTGTCCTGTCACTACAGGCCTTGTCCCCTTCAAGTATTGAGAGGCTACAATAAGGTGTCCCCAGAACTTTCTCTTCTCCAGGCTGAACAAGTCCAACGCTCTCAGCCTGTCCTCACAGGAGAGGTGTTCCAGCCCTTGGATTAATTTTGTGGTCTCTTCTGGACCTGCTCCAACAGGTGCTTTGTTCATATTACAAGCCAGTCTTTTCCAATAACATTAAGAGAGAAAGGGAAAACTTCCCTCAAGTGTGCACTGTTCCACTACTGTTGAGATATTTGCATCGTACCCTGCATTTGTCAGAGAGAAAACTTAATTAGATTTGATGACATTTGTGGTCTATACGGGAATTAATGTTCAAGAGAAAGAGAAAGCCTGAGAAGGAAGCATAGAACACAAGCTAATATACGCAGCCTTAAACATTTCTGTTTCTTCTGCTTGTACAGCTCAGCAAACAAAAACGGAAGTTTTCGTCTTTTTTCAAGAGTTTGGTTATTGAGCTGGACAAAGATCTTTATGGACCTGACAACCATCTTGTGGAGGTAAGAAGGTCATACACCCTTTGCATATAAACCTGACACTAGCACAGCTAAACAGCTTTGTGCCTGTTCTCTACCTTAAGTTCCCTTGCATTTATTATCTCATTAGAGTACTTCATTTAAAGTTTTCAAAATTCCATTCTTTTTAAGAATTGTTTTCCTAGCAGAATCTGTGTAGTCTAAACCCATAGATGTGGTAGTGATGTAGTGCACATTTTTGAACAGAATGTATGAAATGGTGAAAATATTGTGCACATTTTTCCTAACGAGTAAAGCTTGTTAACAGCTGAACAGATTGTGCACTTAAGCTGAATTGTAAGGGCAGAGCAAGGGATTAATTGTGGGAGGGAGGGTGTTCTGTAGGGTTTTTTTTTTTCTCTTTTCTTTCTTTTTTATTTTTTAATTAATTGCAAGATCTCCAGAAGGCTTGTACTAGTCTTATTCTTACATGGCATACTGTGCACCTCCATGGAGATCACTGAAAAAAAAAAGACGGACCATATTACTTGCTTTTTCCTTTGGCAGTGGCACAGAACTCCTACAACCCAGGAAACGGATGGCTTCCAGGTGAAAAGACCTGGTGATGTCAGTGTGCGGTGCACATTACTCCTTATGTTGGACTACCAGGTCAGCAGACTGCTTTTGGCATGGAAATTACAGCCACTGGGACATAGCGCAACAGAAAATTCATCCTGTCACATACATCAAAACCCAATATACTTGGACTCAGAATGTCACATAGTCCATTGAGGTCAGAATGACACCAAACTGGCAGATTACTTAAAGGGGACGTATTAAACAAGTTTCTATTACAGCCTAGCAAAATCCTGTTCTTAGCACTATGATAATTAGTATTTTTATTGTCCATCTGCAGAAAAAATATATATTTCCACCTCACGCTTCTCAAAGAATAGCCAGATAAGTTGCACATGAGTTACGTGTGTGGTTCTGTACAGAATTTCAAAGGAGTGGCTTTTGCTAGTGGTACCTGAACTGTGCAGCTGTGGCAGCCTTTTTTTGCAGAGCAGACTACACAATTTTCCTGGGTTCTTCAGTTTTGATTACATTGTGCCCTAAACTGTCATAAGGCAACAGTGCCCTGAAAGGGTTAGCGTTGCTATTACTATTAGGTCTTGTTAGGCATTCCTGCTTCCTTTCTTTGTCGGTATTAGTTCTATTGTACTAGCAGTATTTGTGGGCTGAACCCATACAAGTCAGGGAACTGATCCATTTGAAAACTAAAAGGCTGACTTTGAAATTGGATCCCTGATCCCGGTCACAGGAAACAACAACAACAAAAAGTTAGGCAAAATTAGGTTATTCTGCCTTGGGATAGAATGTGAAAGAGGTTCCTGGGCACAATTTCAAACTATTTTAAGCTATCATAAGAATAAGCTGCTCAAAAACGCCCACTTACATTTCAGTTGTGGGTGTGCACTGCCACAGTCTCCATCCTCTTGGCACAAACAGTGGAGATTGCAGTTGTGGAGCTCACTAATCTGACTGAAACCATCCCTGAATGAAAAGTTGCTGTCTTAAGGAAATTAATAGAAGTTGCTGAGAGGACATGGGATCTCCCTTCTCAATGGTAGTTCAGTCTCAGATACATTTTGATTGTATAAGATCTTACTCTGCTCCATTCTCTTTCCCCTCCATGCAGATAGCATCTGTCCAAGGAAAAGACATTCCATTGTATGTCAACATAGAGAAAATTTTAGGAATTTTAGAGAGTGTATGAGCTAACCGCAATGCTGATGTAACCAGCTAAAATCTTTATTGTTAAGACAGTATAATGTCTTAACAGTATAATGTCTTAATGATGTTATGATCATCATTATTATAAATTTATGTTTTAAAAAAGATGTTCTCCTATGCTTAAGTCTCGATTTGTTCTAAAGCTAGCATTGGGTGACAGGACACGCAACAGAGTAATCCTTGCCTAATAATGTGACAATTATTATACTTGAGTATGGGAGCACACTAGAAGGGGCACCAAATCTAAAAGTATCCAAGGAATGTATGTTACTAGAGATGGCAAAACAGGGTACTTCAAGAGTTGGATCACAGAGGTCAAGAGAAGAAACATATTGTATCAACTAGCTGTGGTTTGTTAAATTTTCTGGTACCCTGCAGAATGGTGTGAACATGCCTGAAAAACAGAGTTCCAGGGTATTTTGTTGCTGTGAGGCAGCTGAGCATTTATTAGCAAAAGTCTAAACATCATTCTGACTTTATTCTCTCTGTCTGTGGTTAACCTTCAGAGGAAGGTCCATCCTCTTTCTTCCCCGCTTCCTAAAGTCAAGATATTCATCAGTGTTGAAAATTCCTTTCTGAGTCTGCATGCAAATTGTTATTACCTAGCTAACCCATGTGATACAGATAGTCTGTGTGCATAGCACATGTAGAGTGTCCCTCTTCTTTTCAAACCCTAGACATAGCTCTTCCGGAGCACTGACGATGATACACATTTGAGCATTTTGTATTTTTTTCAATCTCTGCCATTGCATGGGGTGCTTTGCCTGAGAAGCAGAGTCCCACAAGAATCAAAGCTGAAACTTCATGCCTGTGTATCTGGTTGCTTTTCTCTGTATTGTCATTTCCATCTCTGTTACAGCCTCCACAGTTTAAACTGGACCCACGACTAGCCCGTTTGCTGGGGATACACACACAGACCCGGTCAGCCATCATCCAGGCTCTCTGGCAGTACATCAAAACAAACAAGCTGCAAGACTCCCATGATAAAGAATACATTAACTGTGACAAATACTTCCAGCAGGTAGCTCCCTTTTGGACACAGTAGCTCTTTAGAGGCAAATAGGAGTGGATCCCTTCCAAGAGGCTATTTAGGTTTTGGTTGAAAATAAGTAAAACCCACCCCAAACACCAAATGTTTTTAAAATTCCAAAGTGTTTTGTTGTATTTTTATTTAGCAGGAAATATTGCAGGAAACATATCTTGGGAAAAATAAAGCAAACTGCTTTTATATTTCCTCTGGTAAAAAAATATTTTTTCTTTACGATATGCTGTTTCAAACCCTTAGTGGAAGAGGAAGTGTTCACTTCTCTCCCATTATTGATACACTTGATACTGGTGTTCTGTTAGAGTGGCCTGTGCGCTTTGGCAGCTAAACCAAAAGTGGGATACCTAAAATTGTTGTAATCTGATGCATCTGTCAATTAGCCCAGTTTGTAAGTACAGAACAATAAAAGCCAGAATTACAGCTTTCAAAATCACCTTACTTTTGAACTGTTGATTTCTTAACTTTCTCATTTTGATTGCAGTTTATGTTTTGGACAAGGATAACATGCTTTATTGTATTCCAGATCTTTGACTGCCCACGGCTAAAGTTTTCTGAAATTCCTCAGAGACTCACTAACCTGCTGCTGCCACCAGACCCTATAGTGATAAACCATATAATCAGGTAAGCTGGTGAGTCAGCTCAGCACTTTCATGTGCAAAACACTCACTATATAAAATACAGAAACAGCTACAGTAGCAGGGACCAGAATCTAGTTTTTACAACTTCCAGGTGTGTACCTTGGACTTTCTTGTGTGTTTACTCTCTGTGTCATTCTGGTCTATATAATTCTGAATGATTTTCAATAGAATGGTACCAATTCTCTAGGAGTATACAAAACAACTTCTTATTTTTATGCCTGTTAGAATACCACTGAAAGAGTTGGTCAGGTGTCTTTCCTAAGGGGAGAGGAATTGGAGTTTGAATCCACTTAGAGGGAAAAAGAGGGAAATGAAGTAAGATATTGTACATCATGAGCAATCAGTCCAGTCACTGTAAAATGTACAGCAGTATTACAGTTTCAAATGCAGTAGCCAGTCCATGCATGCTTTGTTGGGATTAGGTCAGCTGTTGTTTGTGTGTTGATCTTATTCTAAGAATGCAAACTAGTCAGAGATCTCAAGAGATTCGCAGTATAGAATGCCTAGATTCAGAGAAGGTCATTGTGATCAAGAGTACTGAGCTTCTGGCATCCTTGTCAAAACAGATGTATTCCTGGCATAGTAGATGGAATACGACTCTCAGCTATCTAGGGCACTTCCAGCACATTATGTATATAAGTGAAAACTTGGGGGGGGGGCAGGGGAGAGGAACATGGACAGATAAAGAGATTCCTGGGGATTGCAGTCTTGCCATTTAGATACTTCAGTCTTTCCCAAGTTCCTTTGTGGTCTTGGTCAGAACTCTGATTCTGGGTGTTTAAATATTATTGTTAATTGAGCATAGTGAGTTCATTTCCTACAGAATATTGACAACAAACATTTCTGAATATACTTAAAATCAGGTTCTTTATAGTTTAAATATTACATAGGCTATCAAAACAAAATTTGCTTTTTGTTTTGAGTGTATAAAACGGAGTAATCAAAAAGCAGCTTGACTACCATGTAGATTGATAGCTATATATAAACTGTAGTTGAAGACAACTCAGTGACCTATTTGGTGGACCAAAAAAAGCTGAGGTCCTCAGGGATAGTCATTGTCTTGAAGAAAAATGACAAGGAACTGATGGTTATGTTTCCAGGGGCAGAGCGACAGCAAAGAGCCTCTGAATTCTGATTGATGAAAGATGAGACAATATACTAGGATATACAAATATATAAAGATACTCTGTTCTTAAACTCTTTCAAGCATCTGCAATAGGCTTTATCAAAGAGTGTATTCTTGGCTGGATGGATATTTATTCTGATTCATTATGGCAGTTCTAACGGTCTTCTGTTACACTCTCTATAGTGTTGACCCAAATGATCAGAAGAAGACAGCTTGTTATGACATAGATGTAGAAGTTGAAGACCCATTAAAGGGACAGATGAGTAGTTTTCTTCTCTCAACAGCTAACCAACAGGAGATTACAGCACTGGACAACAAGGTACTAGCCCAGGAGTAAGGTATCACATGGCATATATTGCGTATCACATGGCATTGCGTACCTTCATGTGGGCTTGAGGTCATGTGTCAAAGACAGTACTGTTATAACAGGGTTATTGAAAAAGGATCATGTGTACTTTAAATAACAGTATCTGTCTTACAGCAGTAGTGAGCTCTGTAGGCTTGTATTAGGGATTCATGTAGTGGGAACTGTTAGCCAGCTTTTGGCATGTGTATAAATGGCTGGTTTAGCTTGGTAAAGAATGAACAAAAGTGGCTTCTCAGAGCAAGTGAAGAAGAGGTGTGACTTTGTGGACCAGAGATGACTTACGTGACGTACAGATAGGCCCAGTTTCTGTTTACCTCTAATACAAACAAATATGTTAAACCCTGGTCTTCATATGATTTTAAAGGGGGGCTGGACACTAGCAATCCTGTGTATTCTGGTAACTATTGCAGCATTTTTTTGTTTTATGGCTCTGGAGAAAGGTTCTTTGCAGCAGGGCAGCTGCTCAGCGAGTTGGTTCCCAGCCTATATAGGCTTGCATGCAGCATGCATAGCATTATTCCATTTCCAGTTCAGCCCACTATTTCCCATGTCTGCATCACTCCTTTTTTTGAGCACCTCCTACAGCAGACAGCAAGCTATGATTAGTGAAGTTTCTGAAGTAACTTCTAAGTAAACTGGCATAGGCTGCTGCATTGTTACCATCTGTACCATTTATTGCTGTGCTGTCACAGAGTCCTCTAGTGGAAACTCGGTGCATGCCAACAGATTTCTCTCCAGCATGGCTACATCATTTTCCCAAATAAGGAATGATTTTAAGTTGACAGCAGCTCTCTTCTGTTAACATACCATATAGTTGTGCATACACTAGTGGCCTTGATGGCACAGTGAGATCAGGGAAGGATTATTTTCCCCGTGTGTCTGGCCACATCAGCTGTTATGGCAAAATAAATGTATACATGAAACTAAACAAGACATGTTTAAAATGTCAGACTGGAATTTGAGAGGAATGGAATAGCGAAAGTTCGCTTTTCTGTGTATGTGCAAATGATTCATTACCTGTCCTCCCATTGATGATACTTGATTTTGTTATCCAGGATGATTATAAGACCTTGACTTTAGGACTGTTTGGGGTCTTCATTCTTCCTTGATGGCTAATGCTCATTTTTTTCATAATATTTCTGAAGATATGACTCATTTTCTATAAACTTTCCATACTCCTGAGTTTCCATTTTCACACTCTTTTTGGCACCTTTAATGGGCTTTCTCATAAGAAAAAAACGTAGAAGTTGTGGCTGTTACGTGAGTTAGTTTAATGTGGACATGATCAGGCAATCACTAGAAATTTTAAGGATCACACCAAGATATTAAAGATATGATGATGATTAACCTGGGGAGTAACTGCTTTCTTGCATTGGACACTGTCTAAAGACATATTATGTAGCATCTTTCCTGAAAAATCTCAAGAGTTGTCAGAAAGACTAATTATACACAGGAAATTATTACATTGTATAGTGACATGACTTAGCTCTTCAGTATTGTATATAGCATCCTATTCAGCAGTTCAGTGCAGGAAGCAGAAGTACAGGTGAAACCAAAATGTAATTGCAGGATTGCAGTTAACTCCCTCTTTGAAGGGAGAAAGCCATGGGGACCTGTGCAAGTCTGTGGTTCATAACTGTCACCTTTATACTTCACAAGAAATGCTAATAGGGCTCACCTCAGGGTTACTGGATCATGGGAAGAATCAAGTCCATCTGCTTTGTTTTTTTTCTGTCAGATTCATGAGACAATTGAATCTATAAATCAGCTAAAAATACAACGTGACTTCATGCTGAGTTTCTCCAAAGATCCCAAAGGATACATCCAAGACCTTCTCCGGTCCCAAAGTAGGGATCTTAAGGTAAGCTAAGGTTTGAAGAAGAATGAATAGTGGAACCAGAATGTAAGAATTTTATCTTAGTGCATATACAGTGTATAGCTAAAACATCAAGGATGGAAAACTGGTGGATGACAGACAGTGAGTGGAATACTGCAATCCCAGAGCAGACAGTATGCAGGAAAGACAGCTTAGGCTGTATTCCACTTTCAGCAGAACAGCTGTGCTTAATGGTGGGTAAATTTGTGGTCAGACAGCAAGAGTGAAGTGCAGGGCTGTGTTGGTGTATTCTGTAAAAATTAAAGCTATATTGTTTATGATAACACAATTTGAGTATTTTGTTCATAATTTAATCTTATTTAATAAATAGGCACATTAAATATGAGCTGCCTTTGAGCTTATCTTCGAGGTACCTAAGAAATGGAATGTAAACAAGTTCAGTTTTTTGCCAACAAAAATTAGTAATTTGTTCCTCATAAAGTTCCTCATAAAGACACCTCAAAATCAGATGTATTAATGAATCCATGAAATTATTTTAATAAAATTGTATCTTTCAAATAGAAATGTCTAGTTTCTTAGTCAATAGTCTTCCAAAAGATCTGTTGTTAAGATTATGATTATTATTATTTACACTGTATTCAAAAGGGGACAGGCATTTGAAAGAATGTTTAAATAAAGCACCCTTTAAGCTTGAAGAGCTTAAAAACTAAGTTGCTGTAGAGCTTCTGTGACTGAATACTTAGAACAGTTGTTCAGTGCTCTCCCTGACTGACAACCAGTCCCATAAGGGCCTTCTCTGGAATGTTCTGCCCTGCTCACATTGGAATTATAATTGCACAATACTACTCTGCAAAACATGTAAACATTTTTATATTTACCCTTAATTCTGTGATGCTGGAGACTTAGTCATCTAAATGTTATTTTTTTACAGAATCATAGGATGGTTTGGGTTGGAAGAAACCTTAAAGCTCATCGAGTTCCAACCCCCTGCCACGGGCAGGGACACCTTTCACTGGACTAGGTTGCTCCAAGCCCCATCCGGTCTGGCCAGGGGTGGGGAAACTACAGCTTCTTGTGGCAGCCTGTGCCAGTGCCTCATCAACCACACCATAAAAAAGTCTTATATCTCATTTAAACCTACCCTCTTTCGGTTTAAAACTGTTGCCCCATGTCTTGTCACTACAGGCCTTGGTAAAAAGTCTGTCTCCACCTTTCTTAAAAAACTCCTTTAAGTATTGACCGCACAGTAAGGTCTCTCCAGAGCCTTCTGTTCTCCAGGGTGAACTCCAGCTCTCTCATCTTTTCTTCATAGGAGAGGTGTTTCACCCTTGTCACAATTTTTGTGGCCTCCTCTGGACCCACTCCCAACAGCTCCATGTTTTTCTTATACTGTGGATCCCAGAGCTGGACACAGTACTGCAGGTGGGATCTCACAAGAGCAGAGTAGAGCGACAAATCTAGCTCCAGCTGGCCTTAGCTTTCCTGAGCTGATCCCTACACATCTGGGCAGGATCCCCATATTCTTCCCAACATAGAAGTCCCTAGTTCCACAGCCTGTTCATTTCCTTCTTACGCTTTAGTTTGACCAGGATGTCCTTGCTGTGTCATGCTGGTCTCTGCCTTCCTTTCCCTGTTTCTTACAAATGGGGATCTAGAGCTCTTTCACTCTTAAGAAAAATGTTCTTAAACAGTTGTCAGCTCTGTTCAGCTTCTTTGTCCTTAAGGACAGTTTTCCAGGTGATCCCATCCACTAATTCCTTAAACAACTTTCTGTTCAAATCCTGCTTTCTTGGTAGTTGTGTAGAGACTGGAAAATCAGCTCAGGATTTTCATGAATTACTAGGGTTCTGTTCCTCACACTTCAGTAGAATAATTTGTCCTTAACACTTTCGCCATCAGAACTTCTCTTGAAATCAAGGTAAAATACACTTTGAGATGAGGGCAACACTAGTATAGATTTGTGTTTCAATCTAATGTGTATACCTTAATAATTTCAAACTGTTACCTTATGTATGGGTAATTACTGAGGTTCTTTGAATACATAGGCTAATAAAATACATGGTGCTGGGGAACTTTTCCTAGGTGCTGGAACTAAGCTATCCATGCTGTCAAACTGTTAGTGATTGTGGCACTTGGCAAGGGCAACTACTGGTGTTCAGAACTACTCCTTGACACAGAGAAAGCAGAGGTTAGGAGCTCTTCACAGCTGATAGTTTGTATGTGACCATATTGTTTTGCTAATTAAGCACATATGCCATTCATTGTCCATTTGCCTTGGGCTTAAAGAATGGTCCTGAACATTTTTAATGTAGTAATACAGATAAAATTTGACTTTAGGTAAATCTCTTTATGTTTCTTTACATGGTAGAAGAGCTATAATGAAAAACATTTTTATTTTTGTCACAGGTGATGACTGATGTAGTTGGAAACCCAGAGGAAGAACGCAGAGCTGAATTTTATCACGAGCCATGGTCTCAAGAGGCTGTGAGCAGATATTTCTACTGCAAGGTATGAAGGAATTATCCACACTGCTGGGTTATAAATGAATCTTCTCCCACTAAAAAATTGAATCTGCTAAACTGTACAGTTTCTCTTTTACTTTCAGATCCAGCAGCGCCGGCAGGAACTGGAACAGTCTCTGGGAGTGCGCAACACATAAGTACTGTTCACAAGATCCCATTGGCATCATGACCACCAAACCAGTGGACTTCCCAGTGTTACTTAGCTCACTGTTACACATGGACCTGCTTCCTGACTGGATGAGAATGTACCATCAGCACACCAGTCAGAACACCAGCTTTGAGTGACCCTTGAAAATCTTGCCCATGGGGGGTGTCTCAAACAATTCCAGGCCAGAGACAGCGCCATACAAGTGTCAGTGTTAAAGAAGATTAAAGGTTCATTCATCAACGCACATCATTAAGTTTTAGTGGAAAGTTCAGACACTACACAGCAAATCCTAATGGGCTATGCATAGAATTGTGGGTGGCACTGAAGGGGGAGGCTGAGATAGGTGTTATAAGAGACTACAGATTTAGAGAAATAAATGCAGTTCTCATACTATTTACCTAAGAGTCTCAAATAGTAACTTCTCTGGAATTAGACAGGATAGTCTTTCTTATAGCTGTGGAATGCTTTACATTCCTGAATAGATTTCTTACTCCAGGTGGAACAGTACAAGAAGCCATCTCACTATGGGAAAGAAGAAACTAGGAGGATTTTCATTTCTGAAATGAAGAGCCCCTCTGGAAGAAAGAAGCATAGTCAGAACATCTCTTCTGCAAATTCTAATACTTCTTTTTTGCCTTGCCCCTGCAGTGAAAGGTAGACTGATTTACATTATCTGTAGATGGGTATGATCAGTGTGCTGTACTGAGAGGAAGAGAATTATCTGAGGGATAAAAGCTTCTTAGGCATTCTTAATGTCAGTGGTATTAGCAAAGCTGAGGTTGAAGCAAGAAATGAGGCATTCTGAGAAAATAAAAATAACTTAATGGTGCTTTGCTGATACTTGCCTTGAACACAGCAGATACTAACAATAAGCATATGTGTAAAATACAAGACATCTTAAATGTTCCTCTGTGTGCCAGTAGGGATCTGCACTGAAAAGAAGCTCCCTAATTGTTAAGTTGGTGCAGAATCCAAGAAGCTTAACTTCTTATAATGTGGCAGTTTCCTCTTTACTTCAGGATGTTAACAGGTCTCACATTTTGATTATAGGTGGACTGCCTCTTACTGTAAATGATTTGGTTCCCCCATACATGATGCATACTGGTCATATAGGATGCTGTTGAGTTATAAAGCACTGTCAGCCTTAAATAGCACAGAGAACGTATCACATCGAAACCATGTTCTTTGTAAATGTACAGCAAATTCAGACTATGGGAATTTAAATCATATTTAATTGGACGCAGGGATATCTTCATTAAATCCTCCTCTCCTCATTTTTTGTAGTGCGTAGATTAGTCCGTAATGAATGGCCCAACATGATTTCTAGTGCAAAAAGCAGCTGCCAGATTGTAACTGTCCAGATGATGTGGCACTCAAAATGCTCTTAGGTTACTCCTTTGCATCTCCTTTCACTTTCTTGGAAAGATAATCAAATTCACGTGTGGTACGGGAGACTGCTCTTCTGAATAATGCACTTTGCTGTAGTGTTGTCCTTCTCTCTTGTGCTATCTTTGTCAATTTCTTTCTATGTCGAACTTAAAGTTTCTTCTGTCCAGTCACAAAAGAGATAATCTTCTCTTCCACCCTTTCATTTAGTACCTGTGCTTTCACATAAATAGTGCTATAGCCTTTACTCTGTCCATTGTGTTCAGAGATATCGTGGAAAATTTACATTTGATTGCAGTCATGATGGTAGCACCACCACGCAGAACCATTGGTGTGAGCAAAAGCATAGCTGTACCTCTTTGCCCGAGGCCTTTTACCAGGAATGGCTTTGTTTGGAACTTTTTTTGTGTTAAAACCTCTTTTTGCAGTAAAACATAAAATCTTGCAGTCTTAAACAGGGTATGGTGAGGGGCTATGAGTCTGCCAGACTTGAAATCTTATTTTCTTTAGGACTCCACTAATTGGAATACAAGCAAGCATTGAGGGAAAACAGCGGGGATCGTCTGCTACTGTGCTTCCATATTTATTATGCTGCTGTGTCAGTTGTGTGCATGCTGTCCAGTGTATAAAACTCTTTTCTGTATGTGGTAAACAGAGCAGCTACATTCAGGGGATGCATACAGTCTCAAGGAATAAGAAATGCAGAGAGTGATATTCAAGGATGTGAGAAGGGCATGGGACTGGGATAGATGCCTACGGGATGTCTGCCAAGGAATTTTGTGTTTTGAGAACTTTCCCATTGAAGTGGCAAATGTTTGTACAGAGAAATTTCAGTCATGTGCCACAGCTGGCAACATAATGGAGTCCAGCCTGCTTATAGAATCTCTCTGTTGAATTAATTGGATGGATCTATTTCCAAGTCTGTTTCAGAGCAAGTTAATGAAACGAATGTGGTATTGCTGCCCAGTGTTCACAACAGCATCACTGGAAGGTGGATCTATGTAAAGCACCAATGCTGTACTGAAGTGTGTATGTATCCGTGTGTCCAGCTACCGTAGATGATGCTGAGGATGTCAATCCAATATCTAAATTCTTACATCCCACTGACCATATTCCTACTGTATGTGAAAAGAATGGTCACCAACAGTGAGTCTTAGGAATAGCTGTCAGGTGTGTTTCCTTTGATTAAACTGGGATTTGAGATTTTGATGCTTTTTTCCTGTGTTCGGGTCTTTTACTGAAGAGACACAGAGAAATTCTGTCCTGTGTTCCAGGAGTGCAGCCAGGAGCTTGCTTGTTTGCAAAAAGAGAAATTATATTTGAAGAGAAATAATGGAGGAATACTGGGCATATGCTTGGGCATATGAAAATGCAGTGGTAGTGGTACTGAACAGGCATGTAATTGTGGCAGATTGTGAATGATAAATTCATTTTAAGTTCAGAATGGTTGTCCTTTTGTGTGTATAAAAAATGAAAAGAAGATGTTTGTTCAGCCTGGAGAAGGCTCCAGAGAGACTTAGGGCAACCTTTCAAAACCTAAAGAGGGCCTGCAAGAAATATGGAGACGGACTTTTTACAAGGGACAGGAAAGGGAAAATGGCTTTAAACTAACAGAGGGGAGATTTACATTAGATACTAGGAAGTTCTTCACTGTGAGGGTGGTGAGGCCCTGGCACAGGCTGCCCAGAGAAGCTGTGGCTGCTCTATCCCTGGAAGTGTTCAAGGCCAGGCTTGACAGGGCTTAGAGCAACCTGGTCTAGTAGAAGGTGTCCCTGCCTGTTCCAGGTAATTGGAACTGGATGAGCTTTCACGTCTCTTCAACCCGAACCACTATGTGATTCTGTGTTTTGGAGTCTTCAGTTGCTGCCCTGGTATGATACAAATCTGTGTATATTGCAAGAAAGCATTCTGTGTGTAGATGTATTTAATGCATAGATGATAATATGGACTGTTATGAAATACAGCATCAAACTAGGAGAGGGTTAAAACAGAATTCTGAAGATAAAGCTGTCTGGGAGCTGAAGTGTTGACATGGCAGGTTCGAAACACTTTTTTTAGTCCTTTGTGCTGTTGGCCATGAGTCAGGATTTAGACCACGAGTTCTTAGAAATTTAAGGGAAAACAAATGATTGATTATGGGATAGAGAGAATACAGCAGTAGAAAACGAAATTAAAAGATGGAGCAGAGCACCACTGAAGTGTCTGTAAGACTTAGCACGGGATAATGTGCAAAGTACTTTGGAAATAGCACAGTCTATGTGAGTCTGTATATGTTGTGTGCACGTGTGGATGTTTACCTGTAGAGAGCATGTGGGAGTGAGCCAGTCTTAACTTGGATGTAGCCTGGGAAATGCCCAGGCAGGACAAATCCAAATGTTCTGCAAGTAATTTTGAGACATACTGTCAAAACATTTTCCACGGTTATTAACAGGGATTCCGTTGTTCAGCTTAGCAGGGTGAGTAGTTATAATGCAGACATTGTTTCAGCTGGCAAGTTTTTTAAACCACATTGTTTAGAATTTATTCTGTGGAAGCCAAGTGAAAATATTAGTGCATATGTCAATATTGGGGCATACCCTTGGGTTCCTAATTTTGCCAAAATGCTAATTTGGTATTGGGGGGGGGGGGGAAGGGTTTGGCCTGTTTTGTTTTGGTTTTTTTTGGTGTCTTGATAACCCTTTTATGGCAAAGAAATGAGGGGGAAAAGAAAGCGCTTTTTTACTGAAGAAAGAGGTCTCCTTTCTGTAACTGCTCTGTTGTTTAATAGGATGTATCTGTTCTGCCAGATCCTGTGTGATAAACACCTTTTCCAATCTCACTGAAGAAAGGAACTCCATTAAAAGAAAAATACAACTGTGGGTTTGTGAGAGTGAGCAAATATGTGTATAAAGAGGGGGAGAGGGAGAAGAGAGAAACTCCCTCTACTCTATAGCCACCATATCTTCATTGTATGATGCTGAGTGATTCGTAGGAAAGCTTTTAACAATAAATACTTTGTTTCTTTGTATCTTTTGCACTAACCTTATGTTTCTTAACAAAGACAAGTACAGTTGGTTTCTTTCTGCTCCTACTATTCTCAAATTTTTGGATTTCCATTCAGCTTTGCATGCACCTGCACACACCCATACACAGGGTTAAACATACACAGGTTTTCAAAGGGCTTTACAAAGGTGAGAATTCTTGCTGTTTGTATCTTACCGTTTATTCACTGGATTCCATCTTCAACCATTTTCATAATGAAACAGAGAAAAATCCTTACTACTGGAGGGGTCTGGCTCCTCTCCAGGAAAAATCCTTACCACTGGAATACCTTTATCACTATCACTGTTACTGTCAACAGCCAAGTTGCAGCTGGGGCTAGAGCTTGGATGCTCAGAGGTGGTGTAGAAAATAATACAGGCACCACCCAGACTGCGGTAGGAATTACACAGATGTCACCTCCACTTTAATAAAAAGAATCAGAGTTTCTTTTCCACTGTGTTTAATACAGCAGTTACAACTCGAGCTGGGTGCCTCTCCAGAGGGACCTGCCTGTTGATTGTTACTGGGTTTCATAATCTCTACAGGTTCCTCGATTTCTTGGTGGCACTTAAGGCGCATACAAACCTGTTTGCAGAGTCTGCAGATCTTCTGATTTGCTCCCACAGCCTCCAGGCACCCTTTTTGTTGTGTCTTGAGATATTTCCTTATCTTTTTTTACATAATATCCTGTTAAAGTTTTATTTATGCTTATCTACCAGTAACATTTCCATAGATAAAAACAAAGGTTAAAGTACAATTCAAGTGGCCTAAGGCTTCATTTACTTTAGTCACTAGTGCTAAGCTCTGGCACAAATTCTCACTATAGAGGATGCTCGAATAAGCTGTGTAAACAGCACGCAGCCTCCCAACAGAGGTACTACAGAGCCAGTAATATCAGAAACCCTTCTCAGGATGAGCAAGCTACAGTTCAGCGCAGTGAAGATTTTGTGTCTGGGTTAAGGTTTCTTAGCCCAACAGTGGCAGGAAAGA